GCTAGAGGGCTGAGGCTTCTTCCTCCTGGGCGTCGGGTCCCGTCGGGGGCCCGAGGGTGGGCCTTTGCCCCAGGCCGACTGGCGTGGAGCTCGGGCCGGAGGACGTGCTCTCGCCGGCGGCACACCCACTCCAGCAGTGGGCGCCGGTCTCTTGCCAGCCGTCAGAGGAGCGGCGGGCCTGTGAGAGCTAGCTGTGGGCTTGGGCTGGGGCTGGCGTCTGGGGATGATGTCGCGCAGAGCTTCCGTCTGCTTCTTCCTCAGATCGAATCTAGCCTGAATGGCTTCAAGTGAATGTCCGAATAACCCAGCCGCAGACACTGGTGCGTCCAGATACACAGCTCTGTCCCTATCCGGGACGTCGGAGAGGGTCAGCCACAGGTGCCTCTGAGCCACTACTGTCGAAGCCATCCCTCTGCCCAGGGAGAGCGCTGCACAGCGAGACGCACGGAGGATGTAATCCGTGGTGACTCTGACCTCGTTAAGAAGAGGTGACAGCGGGCTGTCATCAGGAACCAGCGATCCAAGCTCCGCCAGGCACATTGCCTGGTACGTCTGGAGCATGGTGACGGAGCTCATGGCGCGAGCAGTGCCGGCCTGAGCCCGATAAATCTTCTCCAGCTGCGAGGCCGAGAATCTGCAGTGCTTGGACGGCAGAGTTGCGGGGCCACCGACACCATGGTTATGGGACGGGGCCAGATAAGCAGCCAGAGACGGCTCCATAGGGGGTGGGTTAGCTAAGCCAGCTCCCTCGGCGCCGTCCAATTCCATGTACTGTCCATAGCCGGGCACAGTGACGCGGGTAGACAGAGGTTTGTCCCATGACGCTGTTAGCTCGCAGAGAAAGTCTGGGAACATGGGAAGGCAGTTTTTGGCCGTTGCGGGCTCCGGTGGGAGGAAAAACCCCGCGAACCGCGACGGCTTCCGAGCTGGTGGAGGAGAGGGCCAGTCCACCTGCAGCTTCTCAGCAGCACGGCGAAACAGGGAGAAAAGAGAGGTGTCATCGTGGCCGACCGGCGCAGCAGCGGCGGCACATTGGGCCGACAATGAGCTCTCCTGCTCATCCTCCGACAAACCATGGATGTCCAGGCCGATGTCCAGCACGTCATCGTCTTCCTGGGGAGCGCTGGCGGGCTTCAACCCAGGCTGAAGCCCGTCAGCGCCCCTGCATGGTTCCGGCCCGTCATCGGCTAACCCGTCAACGTATTCCATGTGGTCAGCCCAGCTAATCGCGGGGACATCGACCGGAAAATCCTCGTCTTCGGACTCGGACGAAGCCGGGGCTCCAGACTCGGAAAGAAGAGGGTCATGCCGTGCGACAGCCGAGCGTCCCAGCACTCTTTCCACAAACGTCACCCGTCTTTCCAGGGTCGAGCGCCGGAGCTGGCGACAAAACGCACAAGCTTCGGGCTCCGTCAACGCTCTCCTAGCGTGGACGATCCCCAGGCAGACAGGGCAGGCATCGTGCTGGTCGCTGTCGTGCAAAGAGAAACCGCATCCCTGAGGACAGGGGCGAACAGAAGATTTCTGCTTTGCTCGCTTCGGTTTGGAGTCCATTCCAAAACGCAAAGCGAAACGCTGCACAAGAAAAACTTGAAAATAGCGCTCCGCGGGCAGCCTACGCACCAGCTGGGCGGTGGAGGCTAACACCAACAGGGGCAGTTAAGCTAAGTTCAAGTTGGCAGACAACGGAGCTAACTAGCAGCAGCTAGCTAGCCCAACTCAGCAGAGGTGTTCTCAGCGAGGTGAAGAGCGTAAGAACTGAGGGATGACTGTGATGACAGCGGCTATATGTGCGGGCGGGGCCGTGCGCGTGTCATCACACGTCATCTGCCGTAAAGGCGTGAATAAAGGTTTCTTCAGCCAGGACACGCGAGGGCGTGATATCCCATACTTATGTGTTGTACCGAGTGAATCGACTGAAGGGGAACCGCGATTTGCGTTCAGCTCGACTGTCTAAAGCAGTTTTTTTTATAGTGTTAGGATAAAAAGATAAATTCCATCTTGTATAAAATTTGCACTGAAATATCACTTTATAGAAATATAAACCTGATTAAAACGCACACCCCCACTAAGGTTCTCAGTCTTCCAGGTCATCGTAGTCCTCCTTAGACTCGGAGGAGACAGAGCGTGCGCAGTGGGGACTCCGTGGCCCGGAAGTGCCACTTTTTCGGATGAGTGAACGCGCGTGCATGATTGTGCATGTGCGCGTCCTCGTACGTGCAAAAGGTTTTTGCACGTACCACTTTTCCACGACACCACACAGCCAGCCTGAATGCATTTTAGATGCATCCTGAAGCGAAATCAGTTTAGTTGCAAAACTCATTGACAAACCAATGACCATTTCTTTCAATTTCCATTAGTCTTACTACAATACTGAAGCTATAAACCTTTGTGGATCCTTGAGCTGTTAAATGAGCTTTGAAGTATTAAAATAATTTACATAGTGAGAAACTTGTTCTTAATCAAGTGGCCAATTTAGACATGACCTTTGCCAGTACTGAGTCAGGATGAGCTCACAACCAATCATCCGTAACTACAACGACAAGATCCAAACAAGACATTAAATTATGTTACTAAAAATTCTGAAATAATTTGTGGGTATTAAATGAAATCAACCACAAAGAGAAACATCCTTTTTCATTATTTATTTCTCCACATGACACAGAAGTCGTTCAACACTTTACAAACATCCGTTTGGATTTTGATTTAAAAAAAAAAAAAGTTTATGTCAACAGTGTAAGAAATTACTGACAGTTACAGAGATTACCCCAAAATCATCAAAGACTGTGCTCTCAGGATATTTGTGCGTTTCCACTTGCAGTTAATGCAACACATTTGAAGAAAGGGAAACAACCATTTCATACAACCAAGAATGTCACGACTCTGAAACAGACTGAAATCATGATACAAACATGTGCAGTAAGCCGTATCGTACCATTATACTCATGTAGAGCTGGAATGATGAAAGTTTTCCGGTAACCTAGAAATATATTAGAGACACTTAGTTTTGCTTTTGCTCATTTTAAAACAAAATATCAATCGGATTGTTTGGTGTAGTAAAAATATTTTTTTCTCTGTATTTTGTTAGAAATTCTCTTTTGAAAAACCTCGAGGCGTAAACCACCATTGCTGGTTTTCAGAGGACTGTGCCAACCCAAACAAACATCTGATGAAGCTGGTCCAGTAAATTGGTCTAAACGTAAAAATGCATTCAGGATTTATCTTCTTTGACATCCTCATTGGTCCCTTTAAACATCATTAATCAGATGCAGCAGCTGCAAATTATATATATATGTAAAAAAGACATCGATAGTAACACCCACTTCCTATTTCTTCCCTTTGCCCCTCGATTTGGGTCATCGATGCACAAACACTGATCATCTCTTAACCATTTCAAACAAGACAGATTCTGGTTCTATATGTTAATTATGTTAATGGTTTTAAGACACGTAAAAATAAAGGAATCTTGAAATACAGCAGGAAAGAAAACAAGTAAACATTTGTGTGACTGGAGAAAAAAAAAAAGTTCTGTGTTACAGCAGCATGTTATAAACTTTAACTCCGTATTAAATCTAGTATTTAAACCTACTTGCACCCTCGGGGGCAGGAAATGAGAAATGTATAGATTTCAGAAAAGATACATTTTTGTTTCTCTGACAGTTTGTAGGACAAAGAAGCAGCACACTGTCACAATCAGCAGGGCTGATTGTGTGTAGAGTGAAGGGTGGACCCAAATGCAGGCGGAAACAAAATGTGAAACATGACTTGAATAACAGAAAACGAGCCATTTATTGAGGCTGGCAAAATAACTGTAAACAAAAGGCAAAATGCAAGGCTAACAATAAACTAAACTGGGTGAGCTAAATTAACTTAAAAACCTACAACAGGAACATGGACTTGACATGAGGAAACTTGACGCAACTTCTTGGCTTGCAAACAAAGCAGACGATCTGACAATGACACACTGAAAACACAGGACTTAAATACACAGGAGGTGATTAGGGGAAGTGGGAACACATGGAGGAACAGCTGACTGACATGAACCTAATGACAGGACAGGGGAAGTGAAACTAAATACAATGAACAAAGAACACACGACTCCTTCAAAATAAAACAGGAAACACTGAAACTAGACATGACAACACAAGCTTAACAGACCTAACACGTGATGAACGATACAAGAACTCAAACATAGAAACCAAGGAAACAATAAATAATAACTGCCTTTCCTTAACTAAAGCTAAATAGGAATGACACAAACTAATCACATATCTAAAATGAGACAAATACAAAATGAACTCAGAGCGCTGGGTCAGAGACCCAGCCTGTGACACACACTGAGTTATCGGCCCAGTACGGTGGCCAGCAGGGCCATTCGGATGTACATGCCATTCTCTGCCTGACGGAAATATGCCGCCCTCGGGTCTGTGTCCACCTCCACACTGAGAGAGAAATAACAAAGAGAAACAGATCATTAGTCCACTTAATCAACACAATAGCAAATAATGTAAGGTGGGTTTAAAATAAAATTCAGCTCAAATTTAAGTTAGTTAAAAGAAACCGTACTGAAATTAGACATTGTACACAAAACGTTACATTTTTGCAGCCCATTTAAGGGCTCAAGCAACATTTAAACAACACAGCTGGAACTGATATTGTTGTCAGACATTTGACTGAGCGCGTCTCACCTGATTTCATTGACTCTGGGCAGCGGGTGCATCACCACCATCTTCTGTTTGGCTCCAGTCATGATGTGAGGAGTGAGGACGAACTGACCAAAACACTGAGAGAAACAACAGAGTCATAGTTAAAGATCACAAATACTCTAATCTTATTTTACTGCAAATACTCCGGGATCATCCATTCACATGAGACCTGAGCTGATTGGTTCTGTCTGCACCTATGAATGCTTAGCTAAAGGGTTCCACTTCCATATTTCCCCACACGCTTACATCTGTAGAGGGGTGAGGGAACGCCTTCTTTCTCGCATATCTTCTTGTTTTCTTAAGACAATTCTATTTAATAGTTTTGCCTCTAGAAATATTTCATTTGGAAAGAACTTTGTGACGAATAACTGAACAAATCAGCTGCTTTCCACTAAAGATGAACTCCAAATGCAGACAAACTCCAGCTTCACCAGATGGAGTCAGTGGAGTTTGCAGTGCAGAATAGTGGATTAGGGAAAATGTCACCATGAGACCAACTGAACGATATCAAAAACGATTACCGGGCCAGCATGAGGCAGGAAGCACCAGGCCAAACTACAGATGCGCTGTGAGTATATGCAAGTATCTGTGTCACAAAATAAAACCCGTCGGTGAAATGAAACTTACGGCTTTGTACTCCTCCTCAGATGCAAACCTCTCCTTCTGGATCCTCGTCATGTAGAGGACGTCGGTGTCAGGCAGAGCCTCCTCGATGCTGTCAAACTCCTCCTGCAAACAAACATGTTTTTTTAAATTAGCAGTTTTTAGTACATATTTGTGAAAACTCCTCTTTGCTGTGTAACCATGTTTAGTCCTCACCTGTTTGATGCCCTTTGAGGCCACGTAGCTGACGATCTCTGCTGGCATGTGGAGGTTTTTGGGAGCCACGTAACGCAGAGTGATGCGGTACTGGGTCAGCAGTTTGGCGAGGGAATGAACCGTTCGGCCATGTTTCAGATCTCCAACCATCGTTATCTGACAGACGCCACAGTTTTAACATGTTTTCATGTAAAGTTTTATTCTGGCTGAAGATTAAATTAAAAAGGAATCATGTCGCTCACCGTCATGCCGTTGACCGTTCCCAGCTCCTCTCTGATGGTGAAGACGTCCAACAGGGCCTGAGTGGGATGCTCCCCGACACCGTCGCCAGCATTGATCAGCGGCTTACGGCACTGACGGGACGCGCTCTGAGAAGGAGGAGTCACGTGCGTCAGATATTAAAAACTCATCTTCAAACTAAACAAGCATCAAAACACAACAGGGTGCTGCTGCAGTTACTTTTATGACCAATTAGTCTTTATTTTCTGTTACGTAAAGAAAACTTTTAGTAAAAAAAGTATCCATCTAAAATCCACCTCTACAGCTCCAGGTGTTGGGTGACGCAGCACGAGGACGTCAGCGTAGCCACTCATGATCTGGACAGAGTCCGCCAGCGATTCTCCCTTCAGCGAGGAGGAAGTGGCCTCGCTGGAATGGACGACGGAGCCGCCCAAACGCTGCATGGCCGCTGCGAAGGAACTGCTGGTGCGAGTGCTGACCTCATAGAATATGGAGGCCATTACTTTACCCTGAACAGGAAGGCATGAGGAATGAGGGATTACTTTAAGGTACCTCATCATTCTATAACTTTGGTCATGTTTGATACGAACATCCACCATTGTAACAGCACATAACTGAAATTAGTGAATAGTGCAGTAACATGAGGCACGTTTAGGAGATACCTTGAGTATTTCCAGGCTTCGTTCCTTCTGAACCATCAAACGTAAAGTGTGAGCAACATTGAACAGGTGTGAGATCTGAAACAAACGAAGGACACAAAAATAAGCTTTTGTTCAGACCCGAGATCTTGTTTTAAACCTGTCAGCATTCCCAGTGTGTGTTTCATCTTCTTCGGCGTACCTGCTCCTTGCTGAACTGTCTGACAGACAAGATGTGCTGTCCCACCAGTGGGTGAAGCAGAGGAGACATCTGCAGGTGTGACACCTGACCAGGAGGCACCTGTCCTGACCCAGACTGTGGGGACAGCAGCCTGGACAGTGGGGGAGGATGGCTGTACCCGTCAACAGCAGCGGCTGGTGGGAGCATGACCATCTCTGTGGGGATAAGAGTCGCAGTGTATCAATGACTGGAACACAGCAAAGGTGTTTCACTGAGAATCAGCAGGAGAACATCAAACAACTTTAATTAAACTTGTTTTTATACGGCAATGAACAGTTTTGACATACTTGATTAATGGACATACCAGCTGAACATGATATGATAACATCTGCTTCATTTTTTAACCCCTCTTTCAACTTATTGATACCTTTTGCCTAAAGAAGGCTTTAAAAATCCCCTGTTAAGGCCAGTGTGGCGAGAATAAGGCACGGCGGGACCACGGAGTATCATTCGGCGCCATCTTTATTTACATCTCACCACAACCTACCCAAGCCCCCGAGTCCCCGTGTTTTTAACTAGGATTAAGGATGCCGTGCAGGTGCGTCCGCCCTCCCTGCACAGCACCGCAGACCACGCCCCACCACAGCCAGGCAGGCTGATAACACACTGGTAGAAACTCTGATAGAAACATTGGGAGAAACCCTCGAGGTAAAACAAAAATCTGCTGTTCCAAAGCATTGTGGGAGCTGTAATACCTGGTGGCAGGCCGGGATCAGAGGCACGGTGGATGCGGGGCGGCAGCAGGTAGCGGCTTTCTCCACCAATGCGTCGTGGGCTCGCAGCTCGAGTCCGCACTCCATCCTGGGGTGGAGTTGGACGCCGACGCTCAGGAGTCTGATGGAGCAGAATTAATGTAAACAAAACACATGAAATAATCCCCACATAGAGGAGTTCAAGAAACACTCAAAACAGTTCTAAGTACAGGCTTTAAAGGTTTTTGTTTGTAATTAAACTCTGTTAGCTGTACGTTCACCAAATTCTGTGAACTTTTTAGATGTCATCTATGCTCATAAGAAAGAAGACCGGGGATATAAGCACCGGAAAAGAGCTTCCTCCAAACGGTGGCGTCTAAGACCTCTTTCTTAGGAATAAAGTGAGGAGCTGCTTTTCCTCCACATTTCAAAAGGAACAAGTTGATACCTGCTGTTTGCCTCCTACCAGACATTTCAGGCATGGAAGAAACACCAACTTTAATCACTGATCTGAACCTCTCGATTTTGCTTGCTCTGTCTTTTACAGCATTTTAAACTACAGGGAGTGCAGAATTATTAGGCAAGTTGTATTTTTGAGGAATAATTTTATTATTGAACAACAACCATGTTCTCAATGAACCCAAAAAACTCATTAATATCAAAGCTGAATGTTTTTGGAAGTTTTAGTTTTTTTAGTTTTAGCTATTTTAGGGGGATATCTGTGTGTGCAGGTGACTATTACTGTGCATAATTATTAGGCAACTTAACAAAAAACAAATATATACCCATTTCAATCATTTATTTTTACCAGTGAAACCAATATAACATCTCCACATTCACAAATATACATTTCTGACATTCAAAAACAAAACAAAAACAAATCAGCGACCAATATAGCCACCTTTCTTTGCAAGGACACTCAAAAGCCTGCCATCCATGGATTCTGTCAGTGTTTTGATCTGTTCACCATCAACATTGCGTGCAGCAGCAACCACAGCCTCCCAGACACTGTTCAGAGAGGTGTACTGTTTTCCCTCCTTGTAAATCTCACATTTGATGATGGACCACAGGTTCTCAATGGGGTTCAGATCAGGTGAACAAGGAGGCCATGTCATTAGTTTTTCTTCTTTTATACCCTTTCTTGCCAGCCACGCTGTGGAGTACTTGGACGCGTGTGATGGAGCATTGTCCTGCATGAAAATCATGTTTTTCTTGAAGGATGCAGACTTCTTCCTGTACCACTGCTTGAAGAAGGTGTCTTCCAGAAACTGGCAGTAGGACTGGGAGTTGAGCTTGACTCCATCCTCAACCCGAAAAGGCCCCACAAGCTCATCTTTGATGATACCAGCCCAAACCAGTACTCCACCTCCACCTTGCTGGCGTCTGAGTCGGACTGGAGCTCTCTGCCCTTTACCAATCCAGCCACGGGCCCATCCATCTGGCCCATCAAGACTCACTCTCATTTCATCAGTCCATAAAACCTTAGAAAAACCGTCTTGAGATATTTCTTGGCCCAGTCTTGACGTTTCAGCTTGTGTGTCTTGTTCAGTGGTGGTCGTCTTTCAGCCTTTCTTACCTTGGCCATGTCTCTGAGTATTGCACACCTTGTGCTTTTGGGCACTCCAGTGATGTTGCAGCTCTGAAATATGGCCAAACTGGTGGCAAGTGGCATCTTGGCAGCTGCACGCTTGACTTTTCTCAGTTCATGGGCAGTTATTTTGCGCCTTGGTTTTTCCACATGCTTCTTGCGACCCTGTTGACTATTTTGAATGAAACGCTTGATTGTTCGATGATCACGCTTCAGAAGCTTTGCAATTTTGAGACTGCTGCATCCCTCTGCAAGATATCTCACTATTTTTGACTTTTCTGAGCCTGTCAAGTCCTTCTTTTGACCCATTTTGCCAAAGGAAAGGACGTTGCCTAATAATTATGCACACCTGATATAGGGTGTTGATGTCATTAGACCACACCCCTTCTCATTACAGAGATGCACATCACCTAATATGCTTAATTGGTAGTAGGCTTTCGAGCCTATACAGCTTGGAGTAAGACAACATGCATGAAGAGGATGATGTGGACAAAATACTCATTTGCCTAATAATCTGCACTCCCTGTAATTACATCTAAGAAGTTCTTTTATTCAATTTGTTGAATGAAATTCTAGTGTTTTCTTTCAGTTACATTTACTTAGCATCAACTAGCCGATATCTGCTGCTGTGTGCACGTTCTTCATGGCTATGGCTGCTAAAGAAGTGTGTTAGTGTTGACAGATAACTTCACTCTCTTCTTAAATCTGGTCAATTTTGGCTCCAAAAATAATCATGGCGGTGGCCAAAACACCAATGTGATGTAATATTATTGTAGAGTCTTTATCTTACAACAGAAAGCATGAAAGGCAGCTGCATTATTACCGCATTCACTTCTATTACCATTGGAGTTTCTTTGACAGGTTCTGGAGGATGGGTGGAAGAAGTGGGCCAAGTCTTCACATCCTCACCGTAACCTGGAGGCACGAGCACCTGAAGGAGACAGGACACGTACTTTATTAGATCAACTACATTTATTCTCTTTGTTTTCTTGTTCAAAAGCAAAACGCACGAATGCTGACCTGGCCGTCGATGTAGGCCACCTCTCCTCGCAGGACCACGCGGCGGACTTTACCTTTCACCTTCATACCTTCGAAAGGAGTCCACTTAGACTTAGTGAACTGCATGGCCTGAGGAATAACCCACTCCTGCTCCAGGTCCACCTGAAAGACACGTAATTGATAAATAATTAGGAACATATTTCATCAGAGTATGGATAGGCTGCTAATTACTGCATCAAAATATGGTCTCCTTAAAATGAATTCCCTTTGTGTTTGTCTGTGTACCTCCACGACGACAACGGTCACAGGCGAGCTCGTCACCTCAGTCCTCCTTTTCTCTTTCCTTTGCTCATCTTCATATTCCTCCAGTAAGTGTGCCCTCTGCAGGTCAGCCTCTTCTCTTCTTTCTCCTCCTCAATCCTAATTTGTTCTCTTTCCTCTTGCTGTTTTCACTTATTTCCCTCTGTTTGAAATGTACAGTTACAGTTAATTTACAACTTCGTTAAACTGCTGAGAATACAGGTTGTTGTTAGTCTAAAAATCTCTCTCTATATATCTATCTCTCTATCTACACACATATCTACACATGAGAAGAGCTGAGAGTAATGGGAGGAAGTGAGTTTGGTGTGATGCAAAATGAAAGACTGGTGACCTCAAGTGGAATGAAGGGGAGCTACAGGTAAACGATCTGTAAACTAAAGCTCATTCCACAGGCACTATACGACATTGTTCACAGCTTAAAAGATCAACCTGGTTCCACAAACACCGGGAAGCTAATCATAGCTATTTTGGTGACAGTAAGTAGAACTACACAATAAAAGACACATGGTTTTATTGTTTTGGCTGGTTTGAAATGAATGCAGTTATTGGCAGCACAAATGATCTCCCTTCAATAAAGAAAAGCATTAAACAAATTGATTTTTTAATTGTTATTTAGTCACCAATATTAAATGCTATGGATTAGTTGGTTTTAGGACCCAAATACAGAAGTAAACCAAAGTGAGCTTTTGTATTTGGCTGAATATGTTCAATAAGTCCAAAAACGACAAACCAACATCCAAACTACAGGGAAACCAGTAAGGCATAAATATAAAAAGTGAGAGACAGCTGGTCAGAGACAAAGAGAAAAAGAAGACAGGACTATACACTGATGAATGAAGATGATTCAGAGGGGATGAATGTAATTACACACAGGTGAAAACAATCAGGGCAGAGCAGAAGATCCCAGCAGAAAGAAGCAACTAACACAGGAAATTAAAGTCACATTCAAATGAAAACATTAAAGACAACCAAAACTAGAAATCCCACTAAACATGATAAGAGAAAGGGTACAACTACGTAAGTGAGACAGAAACACACAAAAAAATATTCCAAATAAGCACCAGAACTCAAGAACTAAACACCAACCAAAGCTCAAAAACTCAAATAATACAACAAAACTAAAGCTCAGCATCACCAGAATGTTAAAGACATCAAAACAGGAATCCACACCTCAAATACAACATAAATCCAGAGGGCGATGATGCTGAACACTGCAGGCCAGCTGCCATCTTTTCTCAGTTTATTTTACTGGCTTACACTGAAACAACAAACAGATTTTTAATGAAAATTTAACCCCCATATGTTTCTAATTACTAACAACAATGTCTATATAAAGTTTTTGTGGTTAGAAAGACACTGGTCTGGTTTCATACAGCAAAAGTTTACCGTGTACTGAGAGACAAAGTTTATATTGAAAAACTGCCTTGTATCTGGTGTAATAGCTGTGTTTTCCATCCACCCAGTCTTGTCTTCACTTCATAACCTTGTGAAAATAAACCTGGCATCAAGTATATTTTCATTAAAAATGCAAAAATACATTTCTGATATAATAATAATAATAATAATAATAATAATAGATTGTATTTATATAGCGCTTTTCGGGACTCAAAGCACTTTACAATACCACTATTCATTCACCCTCACATTCATACACTGGTGATATATTTACAGACAAAAGAAAACAGCATTGTTCTATAAGACAACAATGCAGCCAGCACAGTAACAGGTGTTTCTTTTTTAGACCTATTAAGTTCAGTGTGTTCCACATCTGTGTCACATTGAGCAATCTAACAGGAATATTTTAAGCCATTTAGCATATTGCTAACACGTTTCTCCATGAGAAATCAAAACAAAAAGTCTTTGAAGTCCTTTTTGTATAATATTTGAACTATATGGCTGGAAATCTGATAGTAGAGTAGAGGTTGCTGAGATGAGCAGTGGCTGCAGCAGAAGAAGAAAGAGCCTTCACAGTGCTGTATGGATCATCTTTGTTATCAAAGACCTGAGAAACAAAAGTGAAGCTGTCTGACACGTGATTTAACATAAATACATACAAACGTGTAAAAAACAAACATGCGCCCAAGATGCTGACTTTGATTAATTTAAATATATGTAACATATTTTGATTTCCAAAAAAAGAGGCCACTTGGCTCAGTCATGAAGAATTTGCTTAAAGAAACATTTAACATGATGCCTTCTCTGTGCGGTTAATGAATTGTGAAATAAAAAATGTCATATAGGCTTTTACAAGTCAAGTGCAAAACAATACCTTAAAAGCCTCTGGAATTAAATACTGGTACAGAAATAATATCTCATCTGCATAAGAAAAATGTCACGACTGGGGCAGCAGCCATGTGATGTGTGGAAGTACTCAAATGCAGCACTTATTCAGATGTGAGGGTGATTTATTAAGAATACCAAACAAAGTGGGGATGGCAAAACAGAACCACGGATGAACTAAACTGGGAGAAACTAAAGCAAAGAGTAGCAAACCTGAACATGAAAGGAGGACAGCACGCAGGGGATTCACAGAGTAATGCCACGTACGCAGAGTAACACAGAGAATGAACACAGACAACACAACGAGGAGCACAGGCAGACACGCAGTATAAATACACACACACCAGGTAATTAGGAAATGGCAGACAGGCGGGGACACAGCTGGAACTAATGGACATAACGAGACACAAACCTACAAAGTAAAACAGGAAACTCACAAACTGTTTTACACTACCAACTGGGGACACGAACAGAACACAGAGGGGAGGCACAGGTAGGGATGATAGAAACGCACAACTCAAACCCTAAGAACAAATACAAAATCAGAATAAACTAGAAAAATGATAATAAACTCAAAGCGCTGGGTCACCAACCCAGGACCATGACAAAAAATTACCAGTACTGGGTCGGTATGAGGGAAATTTCTTTTGCAGTTCATCTGAAAAGTTGGAGTTGCTCTTTGGGATCTTTTAAACATCATTAGGCGTGTTGCTGCGTGCTGTCTGTACCCTCTGAGCACAGAACAAGCGCTCACAAAGCAGCAGCTCGGGGATGACGTCACACACATGGGTCCTCTGTAGGCCTATAGGAAAACCCGGACATTTTTATCAATCTCAAAAATCCCTCCGGACGCCCTGGACAGAACGTGAAAAGTGGACGAGGACGGTTGGTCACCCTAACCAAACACATTCTATAATGATAAATTTTTTGAATGAATAAACCTTTAAAGTCGAAATAAGCTCCTGATGATTTTGAGGGTTAGTAATGTTTTTGAGTGTAATGTAATGCTAGAAGAGGACTTGCAGTTTTGAAGTAAACAATAATAAAATAAACGGGTGCTTCTATTGTTTTGGTTGATCAGTTTAGTGATTTCATACAATATAAAATATCTTCAATAAAGAAAGACATTAAACAAATGGGTTAAAAGACATACACTCATATTACATATTAAATTTAATGAAAAGAAGACTGACAAGTGAATGTCCTAGAGTAGATGTGAACAGGACACAAATGGAGGAAAAACAGAGCAAAGAAAGTTATTTTATTTGGCTAAATAGGACGACTAAAGGAAAGTTAATTAACTAACAAACTAAAACAGGAAAAATAGAAAAGACAGGGCTAAACATGATTACAGAGGATACCGTGACATTGAAAGCTGTGGGTCATGTAGCCGTCCAGCTGCCAGGAAACACCAGTGTTTGATGTAATTGTATATTTTCCATCTAGCCAGCCTTCTTTTGGAGTATTTGCTACAGCTCATAACTTACGTAAAGTAGTCCAGGCACCAATTATACTTTATAATTTTCCATTAAATACAAGTCCTTTTGTGAGCTGCTTGTGCTATGTGATTGGGAAGTTGACAGTAGAGTAGAGGTTGTCGGGATCAGCAGTGGTTGCAGCAGAAGACGAAGGAGCCTTCACGGTGCAGTAGGTCACATCATTGTCATCATCACCCTGCATCTGGGAAACAAAAGGAAACCTGTGTGACACATAATGATATCTTCCTCTGCTCATGCTCTTTGGAATAATCTCACTGACAGACAAACAAACTAAACACACAGCAGCCACTGACATCCATAGCAAAACAACCGGAGGTCTGTTTGAAGTCTTTATTCAAACTCTGGCTTAGTGTGGTCTACAAATAAAGATAATACATATTAGAGAAAAGTACAGGACATATTTCTGAAAACATTGATAAGCTGTGTAGAATGTAAATCAAAGAATGCAATGATTTATTTGTTGATTTCAGCAACAGCTCAAAGAAATTGGGACAGGGCCATTACTGTGTAGCATCCCCCCATCATTTAACAAGATTTTCAATTCAATTTTATTTATATAGCGCCAAATCACAACAAAAGTCGCCTCAAGGCGCTTCATAGATACAGAGAAAAACCCAACAATCATATGACCCCCTATGAGCAAGCACTTTGGCGACAGTGGGAAGGAAAAACTCCCTTTTAACAGGAAGAAACCTCCGGCAGAACCAGGCTCAGGGAGGGGCGGCCATCTGCTGCGACCGGTTGGGGTGAGAGAAGGAAGACAGGATAAAGACATGCTGTGGAAGAGAGACAGAGGTTAATAACAGATATGATTCAATGCAGAGAGGTCTGTTAATACATAGTGAGTGAGAAAGGTGACTGGAAAGGAAAAACTCAATGCATCATGGGAATCCCCCGGCAGCCTACGTCTATTGCAGCATAACTAAGGGAGGATTCAGGGTCACCTGGTCCAGCCCTAACTATATGCTTTAGCAAAAAGGAAAGTTTTAAGCCTAATCTTAGAAAGTAGAGATAGTGTCTGTCTCCTGAATCCAAACTGGAAGCTGGTTCCACAGAAGAGGGGCCTGAAAACTGAAGGCTCTCCCTCCCATTCTACTTTTAAATACTCTAGGAACAACAAGTAGGCCTGCAGAGCGAGAGCGAAGTGCTCTAATAGGGTGATATGGTACTACAAGGTCATTAAGATAAGATGGGGCCTGATTATTTAAGACCTTGTATGTGAGGAGCAGGATTTTGAATTCAATTCTGGATTTAACAGGAAGCCAATGAAGGGAAGCCAAAACAGGAGAAATATGCTCTCTCTTTCTAGTCCCTGTCAGGACTCTTGCTGCAGCATTTTGGAT